ATAGAGTCGTCCTGAAGTGGAATAGGCTGGCAAGTGATGTAGTGGAGGCAGGAAGCATGCATAGTTTTAGGACGAGGTATGATAAAGCTCATGGAGCAGGGAGAGAGAGGACCTAGTAGCGGCCAGTGAAGAGGCGGGGCCAGGAGCTGAGTCTCGACCCCTGCAACCACAAGCAGGTGAGTATAAATAGGTGAGTACGCACACACGAGCGCACACCCACATACACGAGCGCATACACACACGAACACACACAGATGGCACGTACACACACACACACACACACACACACACACACACACACACACACACACCACACACACACACACACACACACACACACACATTTGCAACAAGGCTAGTTTCGGAGCTCAGGGAATGTCCTACGAAGAAAGGTTGAGGGAAATCGGACTGACGACACTGGAAGACAGGAGGGTCAGGGGAGACATGATAACGACATACAAAATACTGCGTGGAATAGATAAGGTGGACAGAGACAGGTTGTTCCAGAGAGGGGACACAGAAACAAGGGGTCACAACTGGAAGCTGAAGACGCAGACGAGTCAAAGGGATGTTAGGAAGTATTTCTTCAGTCATAGAGTCGTCAGGAAGTGGAATAGCCTAGCAAGTGATGTAGTGGAGGCAGGAACCATACATAGCTTTAAGACGAGGTATGGCAAAGCTCAGGAAGCAGAGCGTAAGAGGACCTAGTAGCGATCAGTGAAGAGGCGGGGCCAGGAGCTGAGTCTCGACCCCTGCAACCACAATTAGGTGAGAATTAGGTGAGTACACAAACACACAGGATGTTCCAGAGATGGGCCCTAGCAACAAGGGGTCACAATAGGAAGCTGAAGACTCAGAGGGATGATAGGAAGTATTTCTTCAGTCACAGAGTTGTCAGGAAGTGGAACAGTCTGGGAAGTGATCTAGCGGAGGCAGGATCCATACATAGCCTTAAGAAGAGGCATGATAAATTTCATGAAGCAAGAGTGACCTAGTAGTGACCAGTGAAGAGGCGGGCCAGGAACTGTGAATCGACCCCTGAAACCACAACTAGGTGAGTACAACTAGATAAGTACCTTATGTTTGTCAGGAGCCCTACGTATGCATGCCTGTGCTTCTATTATGTTGTGATCTGAGAGTATTGCCTTTGATACTTTTATATTTCGTACCAGATCATAAATATTAACGAAGATGAAGTCCAGTGTATTTTCAGTCTTGTTGGCTCCACTATTTGCTGGTTTATGGTGAATTTGTTGCAGAGATTTAATAGCTCGTGTGTATGAATTTTCATCTGAGCTGCTTCCTGGGGTTATCTCTGCTACATTTCTGTGTTTTAGGTGTCTTATGTTGAATTCACCCAGGAACAGGATATTTGGGGCTGGAGTTGGGATATTTTCAGACAGCCGTCAATTTTCAAAAGTTGTTCTTGGAATTGTTGGGAAGCTGCATCAGACGGCTTGTATACAATCACAATGACAAGGTTTTGGTTTTCAGTCTTTAATGCCAAAACTTCAACTATATCATTTGAGCGACTCAGTGACATACAGCCCAACCCCCCATTGTTGCGTTTTTTTTTTCTGTCGCATCTGAATAAGTTATACCCTGGGATCCATATTTCCTTTATGTGGGTCTCTGTGAAAGCCGCAAACATTGCATTTGACTGCGAGCAGTCCACTGATGAAAGGCATTTTGTTGTCGTATTGATGGTATGTAAAGGGGCTTTATTTGACACTAATATCTGGTGTTCTGGAGTGGGGGCCACTGACTTTGCCATAAGAACCTCCATTCTTCTTAAGAACCTCCACCCTACATACGAACCTCCACCCTATATAAGAACCTCCACTCTATATAAGAACCTCCACCCTACATAAGAACTTCCACCCTACATAAGAACCTCCACACTTCATAAGAACTTGCACTTTAAGAACCTTCACCTTACATAAGAACCTCCGCCGTACATAACCTCCACACTACATAAGAACCTCCACATGAAAGCTCAAGACACTCCATAGATCTGGAGGTCTTTAGACCCCCAGACTAAGACCCAGACGCTAATGAAAGAAATCTAAACAATATGTAAACAGGACAAAGAGATAAGATCAAAGCATTGGAGGTTGGTAAGCTTTGTCATCAAAGTGGGCAAGTGTTTCCTGAGGCGAGTCTTAGTTGGAACCTTGACTAATGTTTATTGCTGTAATCTATGGTGATAGCGAAGTTGTTATGAAACACTGAGTGTGTAACAAGCGGCCTCTTTGTGTGATCTCACGTATAAACTAATAGCATTTCTAAGGCTTAATATTGCCCGAAATGCTCTGCCTAACCATGGGCTTTCTCCAAGCTCAACCAAATGTCACCCATCACCGAACTGACGTTGTATCAGGTGGAAATACATCTTTGAGGAATGAGGGAAATTTACGCGAATTTTTGTAAATGAGTAATATTTGAGAAGCCTCTCGTTTACACGCTCATTGGCTTTAATTAACCTGGTCAACAATGCTGA